TATGTAGATCATATGAAACAAGTTGAATATGAAGCTGAACTAATTACAGCAAATCATTCAGAAGTTCTCAAAACACGTGTACTTAAATAAAATGAAGATGAAAAATCAATTGAAGGCGTACTAAAGCTGTGTGAAGCTGTTCATAGCCGTACCAATATTGAATGTTCGATGTTCAACGTATCATTAGATTTTCACGGCAATCTGCTCCGTATGACATTCTGTTTCAAATGTTAAATGAATCAAATTGCCGTTACGTGGTTATTTTGGTGACGATTCCGTACGGTGCGATGGTGAAGTTATCGATTTTAACGTTATTTTGTATGTTGAGTATTTTTTGCGTTTTTGTATTCCGTTTATTTTTATTTAGTCTTGAATATTAAGCTTCAAAAACAAATTAACCTTCGTTCGGTAGATTTGCTCGGACAAATTAACTCGTCGAGTACCATCATCGTAGACACAATTATAGAACAATAGGTTGCGGTCACCGGTGACCGCTTGATGTTTGACAGTTTAAATAAGAATAAGAATAAAGTTTATTTCAGAAACAAAGAAGAGAATTAGAGAAGTTCCGATAATCGTATTTCATGACCATATTCATGATTTGTATCGATTAGTGCAAATCTCAAACCTAAAATCACAACAGCTACAAAATTTTACAGATTCTCAAACAACTTAAGTCGATTACAGCAGGCTACATCTCACAAGCTTTCCTTTCTTCATCTTTATGGACGACACTGACTGTCCCATAAGTATACACAGCGTTCGAAAATCCAAAATAATCCTTGATTTACGACTTGGAATCGACTATAAATAAGTATTAAATATTAGTATTCCGGTTCTGTGAGCGGCTATCGTAGTATTGGTGAAAGACCGTGACCGATCGGTCTTGTTATGCCACACGCTGACCCACTGCGGTTACATTCGCATTTCGCCGTTTCACAATGATTCGTCATTATTTATTTACTGATTAATTGATTCTGAATGATTTGGCCTTGAGATTGAAGTGATAAAAAACGTTGTTGGAGTTTTTAGCGCCATGCGCCTGGGGCGTCTTTTGTATTGATCTGTCTTGGTTTATGTTTAGGCATAGATACATTGAAATTGAGAAACTTTAACTTATTATTATTATTATGATGATGAATATACTGAAAAAAGCTCTTTTTTTTTTTTTTTTTTTTTTTTTTT